TTAGTTGTCCCAGGTTTTCCTCCTTGTGTTTCATCCTTGTCTCATCTGTCCTTCATGTGCATCCATGTGTGTTCTCCACAGCCCATCATGTCTCTTGCCCTCTCCATCTTCTCTTTTTGTCTTGTTCCCATGTCAGTTTCCCCCTCTGTCCCAATGTCAAGCTCGTGTGTCTTAGTTGGTGTCTTTGTATGTTACTTCTTAGATCTTCATTCAGATCTTTGGACTTTCCCATTTTTTGAGTACTGGTTAATCAGATGAGCGCTGTGAAACAAGTCCTTTAGTGCTGACAGACATAAAGTACCAGTTGTAGTCAATCATGATCACCCATGAAAAGCTGACCCTGTCATTAAGCGTCACTTATTAAAAGATTTAAGTGTGTGTATATTGAACCTGAAAGTATTCTTTTGATGTGCAGTGCAGATTTGAGAAAATCGAAAATAAATTCAAATTTGTGCAACCAATTACTTTTTTTGAAATGGAACAAGGTTAAGATTAGAGATTAAAGTGGAAAGAAAACATTTCAAAGAAATCATTAATCTTGAGCCCCAAAGGGGTTTATGAGCTTCCTGCTCTGAAATGAAATGCCCAAAATTAATTGATTATTTCTCTGCAAATACAAACTCTGTGCTTACAATTTTGGTATCAAAATAAAACTAAGCAGAAATTCATTAATTTTATTAACATGCCTAAAAATGCTTGTTTTTTAATACATTTTTGAAGAATTATCCACACATTTACATGGCAATGGCCCTTTTCTGCAGTGCGCATGGAGCGTTTAATTGGCCTCTGGCCCTTTAAACTCTGAGGGGCTGTAACTTTGGTTTCTTTTGGTAAATTTGCATGATTGACACCTCTTTTTAATCGTTTGAGCCAATAGAATCACAGTAATGATGCCACGTTCACGTCACTTCAACCAATCAGAACTTGCAAGGCCAAACTCACCGTGGCCCCAAAATTACTACATGTGACCTCCATCCAGTCACGTGTCTGTAGGTGGGTCTAAAATGTAGGTTTTTGACAGAAATGGGTTAGTTAGCCGTGGAAACTGCTGATAATCACGTGGCTAATGGCTAACTGCGAAATTTGAACAGTAAGCCAATTTCTGTCTTAGCGCATTTGCGCTGCTATGTGTTTTTGTGGTCTTCTTTTGCGGCTCATTCAGTGAATTTTGGTCAGAGTGTGGTGAAACTTGGTGTTTGGAATCTCTATATCTCTATAGGATGATAACTCACCTTTCTTTAGCCGGTTACATAAAGTCTGGAGAATTTCTTGTTTGGTTTTGTTTGTTTAGCGGACCTGTGCACATTTACGTAACTGTTCGTTTAATCATGACTTGTTTTCGTTGTGTTTCGTTTTTGTAGAAATGGTTTATATGAGATTTTAACTGAGATTGAGAGGTTTCTGTGGGTACCACACATGTCCGGACTTATATTTCTGACACCGTGTTATAACCGTTTAAACGTGAGCTCCTCCTTTTTACCCCTGGTAGCAGGACGTGGGGCTAAAAAGCCTAAAATTACCATGTCGTTCTTGGCAATGTTGAGTTTGTGGAAACTTTTGTCCAAAACAGTCGCTGGTTTGAATCTGTGCAGTGGCAGAAAAGGTTTCAGCATCTATGTCATTGATCTTCTCACACTGCGTGTACTACATGTCAACTGATGTGTTTTAACCTGATGTTTTTGAACCTGCAGCTGCTACTCTGAGCATCCATCCCGGCAGGTCAGTCTTCTTTT